AGTTACAATTGCAAAATCAATCTATTACTGGTCCATCAAATTCACTTTTATAAACCAGAGAGGTTGCAGACCCCCAACGAGGAAATGGTGTTTAAAAATTTTAAAAACATCAAAAATATAAAATAAAATTTAAGTTGTCATTGCTTCTTTGTCCATCCAGGTAAATTCATCAAAATTTGTGGACAATTTTAAAAGATACCTTGTCTGCTAACAAATAGACACAAACCAACCACAATGAAAAAAGACAAAAAAAAAAAAAATTTTTCTAAATGATTTTTCTGAACGTATGGTAGACTAATCTTTCTTTTTCCATGCCGTTTACTTGACTTACTAGTATCTCCATAGTTAAAAAGCCACACAAATAAAGTGGCCATACAAAGAACTTCGCGCCTGCAAAATCCCCCTGAGTTCAATTTAAGCGGAATAATTTGCTAGATGACTAATAACCACTGGACTAAAAGATAAGATAGGCCAGGCAAGTAGCACACACTTGACAGACAAAGAAATATGCTTTGGAACATTTTACAAGTATTGATTATGCAATATCATTTTATCTCAACTTCAAAAGTTTTTTTCTTTGTTTTTAGCCATGCAATGGGACAACAATGACACAAAGGTAAAGTTGTATTTGCCATGCAGTTGTGATGACCTATCTTACGTCTGTACCATCAAACCAGATATATGTTTGCAATGTCTGAACATCCCCACCATTCATTGTGCAACAAATGCAAAATCAATCATAATGATTTTAGGGGAAAGGAGGATATGATCGACTCTTAATAGTGAGTAACTGTTCACACGTACTATATTACAATAATTTCAAGTCCTCATAAATGTGCCATTTATGCTCTGAAACACTGACATTTTCCTCCCTTTCACATCAAACTACAGAGCATATGGTTCCAACATATTATGCCCTAATTATCAAATTAACCTGAACCTGTATATTATCTTATTTCAAATTTCTGGCAACATAATCAATGCAATAAGTGTGGTATCATTTTATGAAGAGGATAAATTTCAGACAAAGCATTATTGATGTTTCATCAGGTTTTGTTTTAATTCCAATCATACTTTCAGTACAGACGAGCCCTGGTGCTTTGAGCTGAACGTCAAAGCCCTGTTGTCACAACTACTACATATTAACTTAGGCCGTTAGATACAGCAATCATTACACCTCTTGCATTTTTACGCCAGGAAATATGAACCCAAATGGGCCATTTTATGTGCCTACTAATTTAACCCTATTAATTCAAATTAATCATTACCTTCAGCTACTGCCACTGGCAAACATTTTCATTGTAAGACCAGAAGCACTCACGGAAAGCCAAGTGACCAGGTAGCAAGCTGCCATTAGGTAAAAGTCCCCAACGCAACATTCCAATGTGACACTCTGATATATCAAGTGTCCTCTTCTGTGACAAAGTTGAGCTGCCTAAATCATGTTTGTGATGTAATTTTCATTCTGTGCCATATTTAAATGCCCCTGAATGTTTGGCTCCCAGGCAAGGGCAAAATTCCAAACAAGCCATATTGATATGATCTGAATTCATATGAAGGAAAGATAAATCTCCCCCCCCCCCCACCCCACATACATTTTAGAGTACTCCTTTCTTCTTTTCAATTTTAATATTTCTTTTGTATATATTGAAATAATACAAAACTAAATAGAAATGAAACTCAGTGGCATTTGAAAGGAGGCAGTTTCTCTTAGGCTATTATTATAAGAAATTCAATCAAACTATTATGCAGTGCCTCAGTTCTTCTGTGTCACTTTCATATCTATTATATCATTCTGGCCCAACTGCTCACTTTTGCTTACCCAATACCAAACCAACCATCATATAAATCAATTTCTTTTTCAAGAGTATATTTGACAAATTTAAAAACTACAATGACATGGATATTCCCAGGGTTTTAAAAAGCATGTGGCACTGTTAATATCTTAATCTCTCCCTGCTGCTTATCTGAAGAGTTTTGTCCACATTTCCCCTCAGTTTACTAAACAGGAAGATGATCACTGCTGTGCTTCCTGTTTAAAAAATTATCGGAAATATTTGCCACTTAAAAATCAAAAACAGGAAGTTCAATCGCTGCACTGGATTTGAGGTTGTCATTTTTTGTTTCAAGATATTAATCCCATGCTTCTCCTTTAAGCCTTTCTGGTATCAATTTATTTTTAAATCATTGCTATAAATAAAATATACAAATGGCATATTTAAGGACAGAAGTTTAATGACCTTTGAAAGACATTTGCATCTTTCAATTTTCAAAATGACTCTAAACACTACAAAGACATGCTGTTTTAAAGACACTTTCTGAATATCACTTTTTTTGTTTTATTTTATTAATTTTTTTATAAATGGAATATCTATAATATACACACATCTGAAGTGACATGTGTATTCTAATTAACTCCTGTTAGCTAACAGTTGGACCTTGTTATAATGGGAGCTGGAATGCCTGAAATGATCTTGGCAGCAGAATTAGATGAATACCTTAAGTGTAAATGAAGTATAGCATGCATCAGCCTGAGGCACTGTCCATATGTTATTACATACTGAGATACATCTTCCAGTGAGACATCAATAACAGGGCTGATTCACTCCCCACTGAACAGCAGTAATTTGGTGCCAGTTCTAGAATCAGTCTACAGCAAGTTCTTTATATGAACCTATCAATAAAATTGTAATTTGGAGCTAATTCTGGACTAGTCTATGGTCAGTCCTATATCAGACCAAATCACTAGAATTGTGGTCTGGAATCAGTTCTAGACTAGTTAGATAGTCTATAATCAGTTTTTTATCAGTGCCTACCACTAGAATTATTACTTGGAATCAGTTCTAGACCTGTCTAGTGATAAGAAGTTTTTCTAGTAATATTTCAAAACAGGGCCAACTATCTTATATCAGCCTAAAGTCAAGTCTTCTTGTAAAAAAAAATCGTTAAATTAGTGCCATTTCAATGGAGTTGTAACTTAGAACCAGTTAAGGTTTACAATCAGACATGGGTATCCCTATGTCTAAGGACAATGTTTTGCTAAGGTTGCTTAGTCCACATTATTGATCAAATACCTGACATGAGCAGGCTAAGCTCTGCCCTTTTTCTCTCCTCTTTACAGATTCTATGTGAAACTGGGCCCAGTCCTAATGCAGCCCTGATCATATCTAGTGTGAATTTACAGGAAGTATCTTTGTGACTAAATTGAATCATGGACTTGCGGGTAAAAAAGACGAGTAATCAATTTTCCTCCTCAGATCTTTGGCTTGTTAATCTAATCCAGGGCATCCCAGCTGTTCTGGGTCTTTCTTTTTCTGTCGAAAAATACCTTAGAAGAAGAACTTTTCAAGCTCGTTTTCAGGGATCAAATTTATTGATCCCCATAAAATAAAATCAGATAATCAATTTCAACTATCCTGTGTGCATAGGGGAAGTGTGAAAAACACCAATCATTCACAAATGATACATGCTTTATTTATATCAAACATTTTTTGATGGTTTACTTGAAGTTGTACTTAAAGTTAATAATGACAACAAAGAGAATTCTCCCTTGCACATCTAATTGCTTGTATCTGTCAGTTAGTATGAAAGTAATAATGATATTCAGTTGGCATTCGATGTGTTCAATTACATTTACAGTCTCTACATAACACATTACTAATACACATTAATATGCATGCTATACTTCATTTACAAATTTTGATGATTGACAATAAGTCAATTCACAAAGTCAAAAGTCAAATGGCATAAACACTAATAACCACATGATTAAGTATACAATTTTTATAGTACCCAAATATCTAAACAACTTCTTATGCATCTTCCATAAAGCATAGGCATAACAGCATTTGTCAAGCATAACAAAATAGCGAGAGATCATTCTCCCAAGCCAAAATATATGATAAGCATTGTCCTGAAGCCATACACTATAAACAATAATTTCATCACTGAAAAATAGCTGTGACAGCATCCTCCCTACATTTATGCCATATTAACTGCCACTTCCAAAAAAGAATCTCAAGCAGCAACTTGTTAAAAGGACTCTTCCTTGTTTTATCTGTAGATTAATACTTCATTTTTGAAATCTGAGACAAGCATCAACGGGGACAAACTTCAAAAGTAGCGGCCAGGGTATGTTATACAAACTCATTCATATACTTGCATACAACAGGTCCAGTGACCCACGTCATGAGAGCAACCCTGGCTTTATAACGTTTTGGTCTTGACACACATACTAGACTGGGTCCGTCCTTTATCATGTCATTGCAAAGCCTCAGGTATTTCACCTTGTGTGATACCATCATTGTTATGGTCAACCATTGTTATAACCATACATACTAGTATCCTATGTACATTCCTCCATAAATCTACCTCTCCTACTCAGGATCGTAGAGCATGATACCAGCTGTCATTAACTTGATTAATGATTCTATTATTAAACTTAACTAGCCAGTATAAATCAAAAATGAAATATACTATAATTATTGACGTTATCAATAACATCATTTCCACATCTGAAACAAATTAGTCACCGATTAAAACATAATGGGTAGGCCTGAATATTTCCAAAATGCCCGAGAGATTTACACTGTCATGTTTATTTTGGATATATTAACATAAACGCGTCCAGTTGGTAAATATTCACTGGCACAAGGAAAACTGTCCTTGTTTATTCATTCCTTCTCTCAGTCACTGTCTGACAGTTGACTCGGTACAAATCTCCTCAACCTAAACTCACGTTTTGCGTCCAACATAATACAAACTGAGTAACAATAACCTACACGTTCTATAGTGTAAACTAAACTGTACAATTCTAGGTCACAAAAATAAAGAATAGGTCATTTGAGAAGGTCCTTACCCGACATTTCTGCAAAAAATAACAAATTTCACCGCCAGACTTGTCGCTTTCTTCCCGCATGCGTATAACAAGCCAGGAAGCGGACGTCTCGTTATTTCTCGCGTTATTAGAATCTCGCTATCAAAACAAAAAAGTGGTGGGAAATGTTGCAGGTTAGTAAGAAGGTAAACAAAATTGTGTTATACTAGATTTATAGAGTGTAAAGGCTGATTTATCGAGTTCAGAGGAATGTTTCTCATTAGACCTATGTCTAACATGTTTAAGTGTTTGGAAAAGGTGTCTGTTACACTTTGATTGCTTTGCAACTCCGTGGTTTCGTCTCTCTCTCTCTCTCTCAATCTGTGTGTCTATCTATGATTATGAGTCTATCTATTTCACAGTGACACGATGCCGGGAAATACTAGTAGTTCAGCACACAAAAAGCGCATTCGGATCCAAGACGTGTCAGATAGTGAGGATAGTGTATGCAGAAACAGCTCCGACTCGGATGACGAGGTCGTTCACAGTGCCAAGAAGAAAAGCAGAAGACTGCAGCTATCTGACGACGACGAAGAAGAAAAGGAAAATAGACAGTCTGATGAAGATGGAGGTAAAAAAGGTGGTAACGCAACATGTCACCTATGCAAATCTTAACCTAACTTTTCACACAAAATACCCATCTGTCCAATTTGCTAACTTGAACTTCCTTAAAGATCATGCATGCTGTGTACTTCTGAATTTTATATTATGACTCCCATAAATAATCTGTAAGTTAAATGGAGCAAAAGTAGTAAACTGACCCAGTGAGAGAACAGTATAGATTTTTTCTTGTGACTACTGTACATAATATTTTATAAAACCAAAACTACAGTAAACAAGAATTCCAGTCAAGAAAAACGATTTGTAAAAATAAAATCATGTTCATTAATAAGTTACAAATTAATCACTAGGAGAACCAGAAGAGGATGATTCACACAGAAAAAGCTCTCGGATCAACTTAATGGAAGGAAGAAAGCGCAGACAATCTTTGGTGTTTGAAAAACTAAAGACACCAAAGCGAGAAAGATTAGAAGCTGTTGGTAAAGATGACAGTGACCATGATGAACCTGATGAAAGTGACTATAACAGAGTGAGTGTAACATAAGGCTTAAATTTAGTTCATAAAATAAGTAAAATGCTACACATTTTTCAAATTATTATATTAGTCTTTCTTATTAAATCATAATTAATCATCAAAACCTTAACATCATTATGGATTCTGATGCTTGATGGTTTCATCAGAAAATGTTTTGAAAGTAGGACCAAATACCACAGAACGGCCCATATAAGAAAACTACTTAAGACATTTTTTAATTAACTTTCCTCAGTAGTAGACAAGATTTACCAGGAAACTAATTATCCTACCTGTTCAAAAGAGTACCCAAGTGACTACTGACATTTGTCTAACTTATATATATTACATGTGTTTAAAGTTCGAAGTTGAGTCAGATGCTGACAGCAACCTTTGGGTTGTTTTTCATGCAGAGCTTTATTTTCAGTATTTTTGTGATTGAAAAGAAATAAATGTTGCTCTGGCTTCTTTTGACCTTATAGATAAAAACCAGTGAAGATGACACCGATGAAGACAGTCAGTCAGGTTTTATAGTGTCTGATACAGAAGAAATTGAAATAGAAGAGGAAGGGGAGGAAGAAAAGGAAGAGATTTCTCCAACAAAAAAAGTTTCTTTGAAGCACAGCAAAAAGCCAGTGATAGATGATGATGAGGATGAAGAAAAAGATGAGAATGGTGGAGCAGAAGTCAGTGATTCAGATAGCATAAAGATGCTTTCGTCTAGGTAACAGCTGAAGACTCATTCCTTTTTAGAATGGAATTATTGGAAGTTTTCCATTCATTATTAAGAACTGCTAATTTTGCTTCTAATATGTGGGTACGCCAAGTCTGACAACATCTTTAATGCCCAAGAACCTTCAGATATTTCATTTGATATAGCAGAGTAATGATTTTTTACATATTTAAGTCAAGTATTTACATTATGGGCTAACAAGTTTTTTAAACTTCCAACAATTTTTGTGCCAATTAGCAATGGATATTTTAACTGACATTATAGGGAAATGATAGTTGTTAAGCTATATACTTATTTCATATTTGAAAATTCAAGTCAAATATTTACAATAATTCAAGTAAGAAAGTTCCAACCTATTCAAAGTGTACATATTGTAACACTGTCTATATTTTTCTTCTTTTTTTATATATTTTACTTCCAAACTTTTATTTTTTGTCTTTAAGTTCTCTTTCATTTATTGTATTCAAGTTCTGACTCAGAATCTGATGCATCAGATGAAGAAGACAACGTCACAGACATCCACAAGACCGCTGAGGTAGGCAATCACAACACTGATATAACTGGGGTAGAAAAATGGTTTACATGACAGCTATCTATAAAAGTAATTTTTCTGTGGGTAGACTCAAATATGGAGGATAGAACAACAAAGATTATTTGGAAGACTATCAGAAAATATATCTAGTCCGTCCCTATATTTATACATAGTTTTTAAATTTTGCTCTCCAGATGCCTTGGAAGACCACGCTGACCACCTATGAAGCATTCATGTTGGTTTTGGAGATGTTACTTAATGCTGTATTTGATCCTGAATTTTTACATCCTTGGAATCTGGAAAATCATAGTGAGTTTTTATCAAGTTTTTTCATTATTTCAAATATTTTAAATATTTGTATTGCTATTGATGATGTCAGTGGCATGAAGTTATTTTGAAGTTTTTAAGGTGCTTAACCTGTCCCTGGCACTAAGTCTTACTGTTGTATTTTAGATATTACTAACAGGTCCACATTTGAAAAAGTCGCTTATAGTTTAAAATAAAACTTGGAGCATTATATGAAATATTCTGCTGTTACCTTCTATTATATTATTGAACAACACTGGTGACTTTTGAATTTATTTTTTACTTTAACACAAGTGAATTTCTTCATTGAGAGACAAAATCTTCTTGCTCCAAAATGCTCTATTTTGGGTCTTTCTGTTCTGGTGTCATGTTAAAATCATCTTTCAGATTCTGTCATTCGCCCTGCGTTCCAGAAGATTTCTGATGAAGTTCATGCCAGGAAAGTCATAGTGGACAGCCAGGCCTGGGGCAGGGCATACAGGGTGAATATCAGGGTGTTGTTTTAGATTTTGTTCTCAATGGTTTAACCAGCCTACAAACTCCTTGTATTTAGATCACTATTAGGGCTAAAGGACAGGACTTTGGCTTCTTAAATTGCTAGTTTATTTATTGTTCAATCATATTTATATTCTTTTGCTTTCTTTTTATGTATGTAGGAAGCTCTGGAGAGCCATCCTCGTATGAAAGAAAGCGATTTAAGTTATTCAACAACTGATTGTGAGGTAAGATAGTACTTGAGTTATTTATTATCCTCTGCGTTTCAGAGGTAATCTTTATCATTATTAAATATTCTCTTTTAATAAAAATAATACTGACTTGCCTGCCCATATAGGTTAGTATCAGAGAAAGTGTGCTTGGTGAGATTCTTTGGTCAGTCCTGAATCTCATCTTGACAAGTTTTCCATTAGCACTGGACCCCCCACCCCAGCTCCCCCTCCCACCTTACACCATACCTCATGCAATGGGAATATGTCTTTAAGTTTGAAGAAAGGCTAATACTTGCTTACAACAACACTGGAGACACTGTTATCAAACTGTATAAATCTTTTCACTTTTTCACTGATCAATTTAAAATTAGACAAAATATCATATGTTCTGATTTTCCTAGAACCAAAATTTTAATCTGTTCAGCTAGGTAAATTGTCTTATTAATCATATGTAATGTGTCATATGTAAGTATGAGCTTAATCAGCATGTGAAAATTGATAATGTAACACTTTGGCTATAGAGAATGCTGATATCTGGAGAGATTTTGATTTAGTAAATTAGTGCATGTTACCATGACCACAAGAAATTATTATGTAAATCCTTATGGTTCACAAAAACTAATATTTCATGTAAAGTTTTTCAAAGCAAAAATATCAATTTAAAGGTTTACTTTTTTATGAAAAGGCTTGCAACCGTAGAGATCATCCTGCCACAAGGGACATCTTGTTTACAGGGAACATGTATGACGAGGTCACATTACAACCTTTGGGGGAGGAAGAGGAACAGGAAAGTGACAGTGGAGAAGAAAGGGAAGAAAAGTACAGGGTAAATGTCAATTTATTTTCTCAGTGGTTGCAGTTTTAAGGTTAAAAAGTCCAAGTGACTTTTTTTAGTTTCCTTAATGAACAGTAATGATCTGAGTTATTTTTCTTCAGTTTTGAGGTTTAACTGAGTGGTTTAAGTAATTTACTCTTACATGTTCAAAATAAGACATCATTGCATGCTGGCTACAGATGTTGAGCAGTCAGTCACAAGGTTTGAATGTGGTCTCACAAGATTCATTAACATGTGCCATCTAGGCAGTTGAATACCTGTTAGATTCCCTAAGATAGAACATTTTAATGGCATATAAACACAGTGAGTTTAATTTTCAGGGAGATAATCCAGCCAATGGGTCCATCTTTGAGGTTGGAAGGCATTGTGCCACAAGGTCTTCTCTGTACCATTGTTTATATCACTACAAATATGACTTGATGGTGGCTTGTAGAAAAAAGGTGGGTTCTTTTTATGAAAGCATGTCAGTGTGTGTGTGTGTGTGTGTGTTAGGGAAGTGGTATTAAATAACATGCCAGGGTTTACTGGTCTGAATCTTGCCACATAATCCTCTTTGTGTGGCTATAAACGTGACTTGATTTAGGCATGGCAAAAAATGAAAGTGTGATTGTTACGTGTATTCTTGCCTTTGTGTTGAGACAGAGGTGATCATACCATGCCCGGGTTTACTGGCCTGTATCTTTAAAACCTCCCTTCAGACCCTAGGCTGTCTAGAGTTCTGATTTATGGTGTTTTCACATCGCCCTAAGTTTCAAAGATACTTTGAGCGTAACTTCCAGTTTTGATATGTCAGTGCCCTCTCCAGTTTGAGATAAGTTTTTAGTAATCAAGGAACCTCATGGTGTTTTTACCCATAATATCCAGGTATATTGTTCATATCACAATTTTTCTTTCTAATGGGTTTTATTTAAGGTAAAAAAGATGCAGAAGAGGTTCCCTGATGATGAATCCAGTGACATTATTATCAAATGCATGGGTGACAAGTTATGGATAGAAGATGTAAGTTTGTATATGAACAAACTGTAAACACAATTCAAGTATGGAATAAAGACCAAAAAAAATTAATAGAAAGTAGCCAAATGATATTTTTGACCAAAATGATGAAGGAGGCCATTGTTGGTATAGAATTTTTGAGTGACTGACCAGGTTTAAGAGAACCCTGCCTAATTTACAACTTGTTACCGCTCTCAAATTTAATTAATTGGCCTGAATATTTTTTTAAACATTTTTGTCAAATTTTTAAAATGTTGTCTCAGCCTGTGTGAAAACTTTTGTTCGAGTAGATTAATTTACACCTTTTTTATTTGTATTTCAGCAATTTAAATTCCTACAGTCGTGTCTAAATGCTGCAGAGCAGTACACTGAAGATGCCAAACCTGATTCAAGTAATTTGGGCAAAAGATGGCGCCCACGTACAAGAGTAGGAGGATTAGGGTTCAGATAAAGTTGTGTCAAGAAAGATACACTTACACGACAATTAAAAAAAGACAGTGTTTAATACTATAACATCTTATAAGCTCTGTAGTATTATCAGACATTCAGTTGATACAACAAATATTTGCTTTTTTTTTTTTTTTTTTTTTTCAACCTACAACTAGACCTACAAGTAACAGATTCAATAAGTCAAAAACTTTTTTAGATATATTGGTTTTATCTTCATATTTCCTGTATCTGGTTTTTATGTGGTATTCATTAAAACTGTTTTGTACTTTTATACTTTTGTAAGGCAGGTTATTTTATGAACCTCTTTCATTTAAAAGACTAAATGTGAAAACATATTGTTACTGTCACATCAGAAAAATAGGGGTGCACAGTTTTTCAAACGCCACTCCCAAATATTTCCACACCCCATTCCCATACTTTAGTGCATTTAAGGTTATTTTACAGTGCTTAAAGGGGCTTTGTTATTTTTGTAACTATTTTCATTTATTTTTCAAAAAGGAGCGTAGCCACACATGCATGTGCATGCACTCTCAATCAAGCATGCATGTGCAGTGCATACAGGGTACAGTCATGAGGAAGGGAGGGCAGTTTCTGATGCTACCACGCATGCACACACTAGCACATGCTCAGGCTTGCATCCACACACACCTATGCTGACTGATTTCTCATTAGTAATACCACTTCAGGCACAGGGACAAAACCTGCAGTAAACATGCACTGTAGAACTTTCTGCCAGCTGTAGGTGAGAGAAAGAGATCAGGCTGATAGATTTCTGTTAGGCACAGATGTGTAATATGATGTATGGCCTTTGTTTAGTTTTCCAATTATCTGCACATTACGTGAAGTGCAGGCTCAGATGTTTCTGGATTTTGGATTTTTTTTCGTGTTTATAGTTCTTGCATTGTTAAAGGTATATTGATTATATAGATTTTGCAAATGGTTTATATATATATATATATATATATATATATATATATATATATATATATATATATATAATGATTATTTAGATTTTGCAATTGGTTGTTTTTAATTTTTCTTACCAAAGTGACTTCGTGATGTTTAATCTGTTTTTTGTTTGTTATATTTTAATTGTTATATATTGTTTTGATTTTGATTAGCTCATAATTGGGGTGAAATGATTGTATTTTCTGCATTCCTATGTGTATTATAGAAATTTAGGAAAATAATCTTTCAATCAGTCTTAATTTTTTTTTTTTTTTTTTTTTTTTTTTTTTTTTTTTTTTTACAAAGTCCATTACCCAACAATTACATAAAACAATGACAAATTATATTATACAATACTGAAAATTATAAACATGCTTCAGCATTTCCATTATGAAGTACAATTTATTGTTCACTCCTTTTGTGTCCTCTTTTAGTTAATGTGATGTTGAAAAAAATGGTATAAACATGAGCTGCTTTGCAAAATTTTCTTTGTTTCTTTTTTATTTGCTTATATATATGTTTTAGCATGTTAATTTGTTATACACCAGCATTCTATTTCCTTTGCTCTTCAATTTGTAAACATTAAAAGGCAGCGTTCTAATTGAAAAAAACTGAAGAAAAAAAAAAAAAAACATTGAGAAGATTCGAGTATGTTTAGGTGAAGATCCAAGATCTAAGTTGTCCAAGCCATATCCTGTGTCTGCCTGTCACGGAGCTCCAAGCCTTATTTTAGTTTGTTCTCAGACACAAACAACTAGGTTCTAGATCAAACAAAGTTTCATTTTGACCGATCTATCAATAGTGGAAATGCATAGATTTGAATTGATCAACACGCTTTTAAGTCCTTTGTGACTAATATTCCACCGGTGCAAATAAATGCCCGTTGGAGCTTTTAATTGCCTGCAGAACATCGTATCTTTTTGCCCAGGGAAGCTTTGACGAATAGTCTTCTGCATCTGAATTATTAAGGACTATTATGTAAGCGTCGACAAAAAGAATGAAATATGTTTTCTGCAAACTCTGGTTAGCCAAGTTGCCTTAATTAGCGCACCTAGATAGCTAAAATGTATTTATCGATTTTATGCTCTTTTTTTACGGCTGTGAAAATATGTTTTTCTCTATTATCTTCTGTTTAATGGTACGCTCCACAAAGGTAATTCTGAAACGCATTCAAATTTCAGGAGGAAAACGGCAACACAGTCTCTCGGGGAATTAGATTAATTAGATCTGCGACCCGTTTTACAGAGGTTACGGTTGTGGCGATTATACCTTCCAATAATTACACCAAACAAGTATAAGAACTTCTGGCTTAAAAAGAACATATTGGAAAACAATGGCATCGTCGATCCATTCATCTTGATTAAGGCAATATGGATATGCAAATCGAGTTACAACTTGCTGAATTCCCTGAGAGCGTGAGAGTCCAAGTCGAGGTGTCTGCGCTCTCTGAAACCCGCGCTCTTGTTTGTGAATGTATGCGGCAACCAAAAGAAAGGAACATCCCCCCCCCCTCAAACTAAAACTCCCTTAATCTACTCAAAAAATACAGTCGCTCCAAATGGAAGAGCAGTGTGTCACCCGTTGACTCCCAGGGTGTCCCCACGTCAAAATGAGACTGGCTAATTTAACTGTCATCGTTATCACAGTAACACACGTCAAAAACAGCCTGCGTTTATCTCACACTTAAAACAATCTGGATCTTTTTTAACGTGGTGGCACGCTGCACGAGTTCTCTTTCAGAGCAAATGTAAACTGTGGCGATGATTCAACGGTGATTATTACTCGGTATTAGTAACTTCACTTTAGCGTAATGATTACAACGTGTAAGGTTAATGTTAGCGCAGAGTTGAATCATGACAGCTTTTATGCAGATATATCCGAACTCCATGGATTTCAGGTATACACATACACATAAACATTGTTTAATTTAGTAGATACATGTAACTTTAGATCTGGCCCCAGAAAACGGTGCTTTTAATTGATTTATAAAATTTTAGTTTTGTTTGTAAATTTTACCTTTGCTCAAAATTATTTTTATCCATCCACTGAAAGGATTGAATAAAATTTATCTGGAGATATCTCTATTTAGCTGTGAACGGACTGCAAATTGATTTTTTTCGCAGCAAGGCATCCACAGTGCAATAGAGGTTTCATGGAATAAAACGGAAGTTCGCAGCAACGACTAGTATTCTGATGACTTGGACTACAGCATATGCACCGCAAAGAAGTGTGCACGAGCGCGCGCGCGCACACACACACAGAGAGAGAGAGAGAGAGACAACCTTACAGGAAAACGATGCAAGAGGGCTGCCTTCACGATGCGTTTGATGAATGTTGCATGAACAGAACATAACTCTTTATCAATTGATGACATGTCAGACACAAAGGGATTCATTAATTTCATATAACCAATACATAACTCATTCTGCATTCCTGTCAGATGTAGCTGTCGTTCTTGGTATTTTATGTCTTTCTGTGTCAGTTTGAACCCTCGTACATCTTAAATGTACGTTTCGTTATTTTACATTGCGGAAACGGCATTTAATTGTTTGATGTTTACGATGTTTTGACTGGAAACTGCGCTAGAAGTAACACAAACGTGTCCCCCCATTCAGGATTACTGCTTGTTTCGTCGTTTATATATCTATCCATTTATATATCTATTTCTTTCTTTCTTTCTTATTTTTCTTATTTTTGTTCAAGGAGAAACGCTGTCTCAATGAACATGGTGTCTGTCAGTCGACTTTATGTTGAAAATGTCGAGCATGAATCAGATCTTTTAAAGACCAAAACAGCCTCGACGTTAATATAGTCCATCCACCCATGCACTTGTCAATCAGAACATTACTCAAAAGCCCCTGTTAACCTTCTTGCTTCACAAACGGCTCTCTGTGATATTTTATTTAAATCTATTCTACCTTTTTTCATTTACCGGGAAATGCGTAGCGTTTCGAGTCTGTGTAACATTGGCCTTTCACAATTGCTTCAATACCCCGAAACATTCTTCGTAGAAATTAGAATCAGCTACA